ATATATATGACAAGACTGAGATTAAACTGGCTGGCTTAATTGCCCCAAAACTTGACAAATAATTAATAATAATAATTTTTAAAAAGTGTGTCTATATAAGCTCAACAGTGCAGTGTGTGTATGTATTTCCTCTTTCAGCTTCACAACCATCATTTTTTAATGGTTAGCCCCAAGTTTTTATTTTTACATTTTAGCTCAGAATATCTGTCAGCTTTAAATGAAAAGGAAAATGTTTCAACTCAGCATTTTTCTCTTTCTGAACTGAAGGCTAATGTGGACTATTCAACCACTGTCTAAAGACAAACTCACAAATTTAGCACAGCCGAATTTCTACTTAGTAGTGTAGTATTCCTTATCTTGTCTCTTTTTCATGTTTGTCTTTTACTTTTTGTTAACCATTAAATGCACCGCTAAATTGTACAAATGTTAAAGGGAGTTCAGTTTAACCAAGTCAAGCTGCGGAAACATCACGGTAAGACATAAATAAATTAAATTTGAACAGTGGGATAGTTAACACGAGTTTTTGATGCAGTTAAAAACAAAACTTAAAGTAGGCTAAAGCACAATAACTTGTTGTAGCGACAGTTTGTAAACAAGAAAAGTAAAAAGAACGGAGGCAGCGTAAATTAAACTATGACAAAAGCTACTCACAACTCTTTGATCAGCATGTTGACTGAGTCTCGGTCCAAACGGTAAAATAAAAGGAGAATAAAGAGCAAAAACCTGACCCGGAGTGTTCATTCACCGCCTCGACGCCGGGTTTTCTTCCTGGAACATGTCGTGTAGACGGATGGGCGCGGCGTGGGCAGAAGAGGAGGAACCTACCTTTCAGGTAACCGAGTGTCGCGTTTAAGTGCAGTCCGGAACAACAAGTTCTCCAAATAAAACCTGTTCTCTTCCAACCGCGAACTGATCATGTCAGCGTTTGAAACGCAAAACACAACTAAAAAGATCCACTATACACATCATTAATAACAAGACTCGCGTTACTTCTTTAACAGCGGGACGTGTTTTAATTTTAAAATCAAAATGTCCCACAGTTTGGGGTTCTCGAGCCTGACAGACATGACATAAGGATCCCCGATTAGTTGTAACTTTAGACTTTATTTGATAAACATATATTTTAACTGTAAAATAAAGACTGTAAAAATACTGTAGGTTGATTAAATATTTCAAATACAAAAGAAAAAAACTGTAAAACTAAATTTGATAAAGTACAAA